ATCTGTTGATCTCACTCGCACATATACAAAGATGAAAGCATTCAAAATAAAGGCCATCATGCAAATTATACTGTTGTCTCCCTTACACTATTCCTTTTCTTAGTGAGCCTTGATCAAGCGCCAGAAGAGAGCAAACGCAAATAAAAGAAAATGTTGTTTGCCATTCATCAGCAACAATTGTCGTTTCCGTTATCTTTAACACAACTTGAAGAAACCCCCTTTCGAAAGCGTCTTAAGCGGCGCTACTGTATCCAAAAGCTTTCTTACGCACTCTCCCACAATCGGAAAGTTGAATGAATGCTATCCGGCGGCAACTTCAGGCGCCGCCAACTGCCGCCGCACGTCAACTTCATATGTAAATATTGGCCGAGTGCTGAGCGGCCGAACTGCCGAGAGAGCCTGGCGCTGCAGTGCGCCGCAGCAGAGAGCACACGAGAGAGAGACAAAGAGAGAGCAATTTGCATCTAAACACCCTGTCAAGGCGCCACGTGCGAGCGGAGAGCACGGCATAGCATAGCAGAGGCAATCTGGCCAGCGGGCAATACATTTGACCAAGTTGCTTAGTCGCGTGCGGGCGTGTTGTCGAGCCGGAAAATGCGCGCGTAAACTGATAAAAAGAAAGAAAGAAAGAAAGAAAGAAAAAAAAAAGTAGCATATAATTACAATTGAGGGGAATATAAAGTGCACAAAAACTGAGCAAATAAAACGTAGTGGAGCCAGCCGCCATGCTGGCCCAGAGCAATGTGTCTATGAAGTGAGTGAATGGGCAAAAAACGAAAATGTGGCCGAAAGCAAGTGGGCCAGTGCAATATTACATTGTTTGGCCAAAATGTACGTAGCCGGCCCTACAAATTAATTAATAATATGCAACAGCTGCGAGTGCTTTGTAAATCGAGTTAACATCAACGCACACATACACTCACACACACGCACATACGAAGGCGTGCAGCAATGGACATGGATAGCTCCAGAGATTGGCAGCGATTGCTGTGGATGGTGTGCTTTGTTTGGCTGCATCAGCTTGTTAAATCAATAGAAAAACCCCGTTACGCGCTGTGTGCGTGGCTTTAACCAACAGCGGCATGGCTCATACGCCGCGCTGTTAGCGACAATATTCTAGGATAACGTGGCATAGCGTGGCATGGCGTGGCATGGCCTGCCTTGCCTTGAGATGGCTTGGCTGGGCTCTGACTAGCTGTGCTCAGCTAAGTAATTGCGTGGCATGACTTTTGGTTAGCAAGTTCACAAGTTGAGTTGTTTTCTTTTTTGTTCTGGGTTTTCTGTGTGTGTGTGTGTGTGTGTGTGTGTGTGTGTGTGTGGCAGAAACTGCAGGCAATGCTCGCGCAATTTGGCTAAAAGCCGTCGCTATCGCTGTTGTCGTCGACTCTTGCACGCTCTTAGCTAGGTCACAAGGCGAAGCCGCAACCGCACAGCAACAGTCAGGCTGGAGCTGGAGCTGGAACCTGCCACAGAAGCCACATAGAACGATGGCAACAGCTATGGCATAAGCAGTCGAAAGTCAAATTCATTAGGCATTAGGCGTAGGCGTGGGCGTGGCAGCCAATGTAGGCGTAGGTAACAAAGTGGCAAAGGAGTCAACACGCCAAGCTGTGTGGCTTCATCTTGCACGCCCCCAAACTATAATAGCTCAGTAGCTAAACATATACATATATACATACATATACATGTTTATATGTGTGTGTATATCGCCCACACTTTCTTTTTATATTTTTGCGCCATTTATCGATTTTTGACACTTGACTTGAGCGGGCCAAAACGCTGCGCCGGCTAATAATGCTTAGTGGGTCAGCGTTTTGAAGTACGTTAGAAGCAACAGCGGCCAGCGGCAAGAAAGTGAAAATGAAAATGAAAACCTGAAATGTACAAAAGACTGGCAGAGCCCCAGCCAGTTGGAGCCGCTGGAGCAGCTGGAGCAAGCCTTAAGTTGTGACATATAAAAATAGCAGAGACCCCTCTCATACACACACACACCAACACACGCTCACACGTAGGCAACAAATCCCCCTACTGCACACACACACACTCACTCACACACACACATATATACTTGCAGACGCATTGTAAACTTCAAACGCGCTTGGCCTACTTTTTGTGTAATGGTCTGGGATGGCAGAGTCCACGCCATCGTCCTGGCCATGGTAGTTGCTTTGGACCGCCCCCCCTCCCTCTCTCGCCCTCAACCACCCGTCGTCGCAATTGCGTGCTCGTCAACCGCAGCCAAGTTAAATGAAGCACATTGCGGGGCCAACGACGACGGCGGCTCTGCAAACAAATGACCAAAAGCGTGCGCGCGCGTTAATCATACGCCCCGTGCGCCGTACACGAATCCGTGCTTTGTTGAACGTAAAGTCAATCAGCGCTGAATTGACAGCTGCAGTCAATGGCAAAACGGTGCAGCACAGCATAAAAACCAAAAATGATGGCATCATGCCACCGTCCAAGTGCACCTCATTAGCTGCCCATAGAGATGAGCCAGGCCGAAAGCGAAAATTACCCAAAAACTGTTCACAAGTATCGCAGTCGCTCAGTCAAATGGGGAAACGGTTTAAAGCGCAATTGCTGCAAATTAGTTAGAATATTATTTCAAGTGCTTTAATTATCTAAGAGTCGAAATAGTGGAGAAAGAATTTGATGCCAATTGGTTTATTGAAAATGTAGAGAATTAATGAAAGGTATATTTTTTTTATATCAAGTAAAATAAATTAATCGAAATAAAATAAAATAGAAGAAATCCATTTATTCTTATATTTTATTTAATTTCTATTTATTTATTTTACTTGATAGATTTATTGTATAGAAAAGAAAAATTATATAGACTTATTATATGCAAATATGTATTTTTATTTCAATTTTATCTATTTTTTGTTGTAAAATTATGATATTAAAAGTATAGTTAAATAGTAAATTATAAAAAATATGACTGTAGATTAAATACTAGACCCTTTTAAGTACAAAGACTAAAAGATTTTAATACATGGGCATATAGCATTTGGTAATTTGAAAGATAATTGATGGTTTAGAGGAAAAATTAAAAAGAAAGAAAAAAACCTAATGAAAAGCTGAAATTACTTGGAAATACGTTGCTAGGCTAGATAATTTATATATATGTATACATATACATGATATATTGATTCTTAGCATTTAGGCAACAGAAATGATTTCGTTAATTTCGATATTTGATTGGAAAACATATTTTTTGGATTTATTTGAGTTTTGGGAAACATTACTGGGGCAATTTTTAAGCAATAGTACTCTGCATAGTACTTTTTTACTTTGGTTAATTTGATTTGCGTCCATATGGACACACGGACGAGCTCACTTACTCATCAAACTCACAATGCAATTTATCGATTGGTCAACTAGTAAGCAAAGTTATTGATAAAAAATAATAAAGTAACAATTTTACAATATTTTTAATGGCAATTTAAAGACTCATCTTAAGTTAATTTATATGTTTAAGTTCTTAAATTATATTTAAAATAATTTTCTTCAACTGCCACTCACTTCGTTATTAATAAACTGTAATTGAAATTTTATATTTTTAAATTCATAAATTACATACAAATAGAATAGCATTATTCCGCATGCACTCAGTTCATTACCGATTGAAATTCATATTTTATTTATCGACAATAAAAAAGGTAATTTTCTTCTTCTTGCTGCTTTGTTTACACTGCCTACAATGATAGCAGGAGCAAGTTTTTATCGTGCGACCATTTGACGTTCAGCTGAAAGTTTGCATGCGAATTCACTTGCTTCAGTTGCCCATTTTTCATGCCATTTCGTCCAAAAACAAGTTAACTTCATCGATAAAAAATGAAAAGATAAATATAAATAAAAAGTTGTAAAACAAATTGCTTTCATTTTCATTCGGCATAAAAGCCTTGAGGCCAAGCGACGATTCAGTATAAATATTTGCTAGACAGATAAGCCGCGGGTAGTCAAGTGGGATGTGTATGTATGTATATGTGTAAATATATATACATACATACATGTACACATATATCTGTATCTGTATCTGTATCTGTTAAATGGCTGCTGAAATGTCTAACGCTCAATTATCAGCTCATCTCTAGACGTGTCGCAGCATTACACATACACAGCTACATGTATGTATGTATGTCTCTGTATAGGTGAGCATTTATTGGTGGCTTATTCGACTTATCGTTAGCTGCAATTTGTTTTCCCTCTCTGTCTCTCTGTGTGTGTGCGTGTGTGTGTGTGTGTGTGTGTGTGTCTCTTGGTGGCACATTATGTTACAGAGTTGTTTCGCATTAGAGCCAGAGCAAACTAGTCTCGAGCACAGTGGAAGGCTTTGCTCACTTTTGGAATTAATTGCCGTGGTAGCTGAGCGGGTGGGTGGAGTGGGTGGAGGTGGTGCTGGAGCTGTGTATGTCAGGCATGCGTGGCACGTGAATGCCAGGCAAAAACCATTCGCGCGCGCCTCAGAGTTGTGTGTGGGTGTGTGTGTGCGGGCGTGCGTGTGTGTGCATTTAAATTACGAAATCGTGCAAAAAAGGTGCCATTAAAAAAAGGCGCTCCAAACGCGTGGTTGCCCGACAAATGAAACAAAATAACGCAAAATAAACTAAATATGTATACAACAACAAAAAAAAAGAAAAAAAGAAATGAAAAAGTGAAAATAAATAAACGAAGCGAGTGCAGCTGCTGTCGCGTGACGTAAGGGCTGACGTTGCGTATACGCAATATCAGCTCTATCTCTATCTCTCTCTCTCTCTCTCTCTCTCTCTGTCAATTTACCTGATAGGCAGGTGGCGGTGCGTGCGGCTGTTGTCGTTAAACGTTCTTGGCGTCGGCGGTGCCAGGAGCCGTTACCCGGCCGGGCCATAATTGTTATTCAAATGTGGCAAGGGTGAATGATACGAAATGCAATAACAATAACTGCGACAGTGAAATAAATTCAAGTGAAAGCGATTCAAGAACAAACTGACACCAACACCAACACCAATACCAACAACACCAATAGCAACAGCAACAGCAACAGCAACAGCAACCACAATCAAGCAACAACACCAATTAGCAGATTGCCAACAGCACCACCAGCGAGCGGTCATGTTAGCAGCCAGCCTGAGCCGCCGCACCACCACAGTCAAGCGAACACGTACAGCAACTATTGGAGCAGCAGCGAGATGGTATTGAGCACCGAATGGTCGCAGGTGGAGGTTATCGATCTGATCAACGATGGCAACGGGCTGGGCTTCATTCTGGTGGGCGGTCGCAGCACGGGCGTTGTCATCAAGGCCCTGACGCCGGGGGGCGTGGCCGAGCGGGATCAACGCCTGCAGCTGGGCGATCATCTGCTGCAGATTGGCGATGTGAATCTGCGCGGCTTCAGCTCGGAGCAAGTGGCCACAGTTCTTCGTCAGACCGGAGCTCAGGTGCGTCTGATTGTGGCTCGGCCCGTGGAGCCGACGGCCATCGACTACAATACGCTGGCCAGTCATGCGCCCATTATACCAACTAAGCTCCTCTCCGACCCGGAAGAACTGTCGCGGCATCTCTTTCAGAATCCGAGCTTGGCCACGGCGACGACACCCCTGGATGTGGGCAGTCTGGTTGGCCTGGTCACGGGCGCCCCAGCTGGCGATACGGCTGACCAGGGCAATGTGCCGTTGCCACTGTCACTGCCCCTGCCCCTGCCCCTGCCCCATTCCCAGTCCCACACCCAGACCCAGTCACAGTCCCAGTGCCAACCCACACAGTCTCTGCCTCTGTCCCTGTCACTGCCTCTGTCCCCGACCATGCCCTCCATGCCCGCCATGGCCCCAGCGCCCGATACTGAGCTGGCCGATCTGCCGCTGCCGCCGATACCCGCCAATCTGGCCAGCAGCAGCAGCTCCTGCCTGCAGGATCCCGACATTGTGCCCTACTCCATACTGTCGCCGCCTCCGACGACAGCGCTGCTCACGGCGCGACAGTCGCTGCAATTGCCGCTGGGTCAGTGCTGGCAGACTGAGGACGACGACGATGAGGATGAGGCGCAGCAGGGGGAGGGTGGGGAGGATCTGGAGGATGGGGAAGGAGGTGGGCAGCGGGCTCAGCATGTGGATGGCACTGTGATAGCCGGCAAAAGGTCGGCAAATGACGGCGACTGTTGCTCCGTGGACTCCGAGTCGCCCTCCACATACGTGGACTCGCCGGAAACGGAAACGTACGTCGTGGTGCTGCACAAGAACGTCTACGGGCTGGGCATCACCGTGGCCGGCTACGTCTGCGAGGAGGAGGATCTGTCCGGCATCTTTGTGAAGAGCATCATCGAGGGCAGCGCCGCCGAGATGAGCCGCCAAATTCAGATCAACGATCGCATCGTCGCTGTCGACGGCCGCACCTTGGCCGGCGTGACCAATCACCAGGCTGTGGAGTTGCTGCGCAACACGGACATTGAGGTGCATCTGACGCTGGAGCGTTTTCTGCGCGGCCGCAAGTTCGAGCATCTGCAGGTGGCCCTCACCGAGATGAAGGTGGGCGGCGGCAGCGCCAATGCCAACGATGGCGATGCCCAGTCCCAGCTGTCGATGCCCGCCTCGCCTTCGATAGCGACGCTTAGCTGGCTGCCGCCGAAATCGGCCGACGCGGACTCCATTGTTACCGATGCCGGTGATGGCCAGCTGCTGCCCGACTTTCCCGAGCTGCCCTCGCGGGACACCGTCGACTCGAACATGTCGCACATGCTCGACCGCAGCGACCACAGTGCTCCGCCGCTCACCAATGGCAATGGCAGTGGCTTGGGCCATGGACTGGGTGGGCATGGCCACGATCATGACAGCGGCAATGACACCGACGAGCAGTGTCCAGAGCCGGAGTCTGAATTGAAGCTGCCACAGCAGCCGCAGCCGCAGCCGCAGCCGCAGCTCCTGCCCCAGTTCAAGTCAAAGTCAGAGACTGAGTCGATAGCAGCGGCAGCCGTCGCCGAGCCGGAGCATGGCAAGACGCCCACCAATGAGCCGGATGTGCCAGCGTTTAAGGGCACTGACACGGCCACGCCCGCCACATTGGCCAGCCCCAGCGCCGCCTCGCTGCGGGTGGCCTGGAAAAGTGAGTTTCCCGAAAGTGAAATATTAGTTGCCGAAATAAATAAACTTTCAGGTCTAGGGATCAGCCTCGAGGGCACCGTCGACGTCGAGTGCGGCATTGAGAAGCGTCCGCATCATTACATACGCTCAATACTCGAGGACGGTCCCGTCGGCAAACAGGGCATACTGCGGCCGGGCGACGAGCTGCTCCAGGTGAACGAGCACAAGCTCCAGGGCCTGCGTCACATCGACGTGGTCAAGATATTGAAGGAGCTGCCGGCCAGCGTGAAGCTGGTCTGTGCTCGCGGCACGCGCGCTCCCTCGATAATCAATACCTCCCAGAATCCGGAGGCCTTCGAGACGCGCAGCCTGCTGCCCGGCGGCCATCAGAGTCTGCAGAATCTGCTGAGCAAGGCGCAGTCGGAGAGCTCCCTCTACACGTCGAGCACGGCAACGCTGACGGAATCAGCGACGGCAGCTGGAGCTGCAGCTGCCACCGCCACCGCCGCCGTCGCCGGAGCGACAGTGCAGCGGTCCAAGTCGCTGGACAACATGTCCGGTCTGGCGCTGTGGAGCAGCGACGTGACAGTGGTGCACATTGAAAAGTCTGAGCAGGGCTTCGGTTTCTCTATACTCGACTATCAGGATCCCCTCGATGCGGAGGGCAGTGTGATTGTGATACGTGGCCTGATACGCGGTGGTGCTGCGGAGGCAACCAACGAGATCTTTCCGGGCGATCGTCTAATCAGCGTCGGTGAGCACTCGCTGCAAGGTCTCGAGCTCGACGAGGCGGTGGCCATTTTGAAGGCCATGCCACCGGGCCGAACGCGTCTCGGCATTTGCCGACCCCTCTCCACCWCGGACAGCAACAGCAACAGCAACATTGCCTCGCCGATCGCCGACTCGGCAAGCAGCACATAGTGCCAGGCGGAACTACAATCTCAGCGACAGCTCATGATACGTGAGTATTATAAATATTCCTATGAAACATAATTTAAGTCGCAGTTTTACTCTTATTAATTCGTTAAAAAGCATCCGCTCTATTTTGTCTCTCTTTTTCCCTCTCTGCATGTTGATTAGATGTTAGCAATCATATTCGGGTTGATCTCTTCCTGTGATTTCATATGCTAGAGTGAGACAACTCTCTACTTTGGGCAGTTATCTACTACAGGACTGCACTGACACTGTTAACAGTGATGGCAATCTTAACAGAATACTAGGTGTGCTGCTATTGGCTACAAACTTAATTTAACATTTTTTAGCATTCATTCCACTTGAGATATGTCTAGTTTGAATCTTATTAGCATTCCAATTTGCTATTTCCTTGGCTATCGCTCAGCCGAGGTAAAGTGTCTTGGGATAACGTTTGCTTTAAGAATTTTGATGTTTTAAATATGTGAAGCAATCGAATATGCATCAGAATGTTCTTGAGCAGCAGCAGCTGCAGCGCCATCAGCAGCGTGTTTAAGTACCAAGTCAAAAATGCCCTGTAAGTATACAGACTATTCGAAGGGTATAACAAAATCAAGCTGATGTTAGGCATTTGAGTGGTAAAAATATAAATGTTAAGCTTATCAGACTGCCATTTTAAACAGGAAAAGCCTTTTTCATGGAGTACAAATATTTATTTAATTTATATTCATAAGAAAAACTTACAGTCCTTAAGCTTAAAGGTTTTTTTTTCAATTATCTTTGTGTATGCAAATATTTGTAAATAAATATGTAAATTTGTAAGGCATACACAAAAGTTTTGAGAGCTTTCTAAACACTTGAGCAACGGCAGCAATATCTGTCCAGGGTATCTCTTTGTGCACTTCAAGCTAAGCATTCACAATGCTAAATCGTTTCAAAAGGTGTTTTGCACCTGTTGCCGTTATAATATGAATTCGATTGCCAATGCCATTTCCATTGGCAAGCGGATTGCCTGGGCTATAATTGAATCATCTTTTGAGGCAGCTGTCGCCAGTTTCCTGACGAGTTTTCTTATGCGCGCTCAGAGTGTAAGGCGCCAATATTGGTTTGCCAGTAAGATTTTTCAACAAAGTGTTCCATTTATCATATAGCTAGAGTAGAGTAGAAGCTAAATGTGATATAGAACAAAGTCAAATTACTGTAAGATGGTTCATTTTTTTTAAACTGTAGATATTTAACATTGACCCTGTATCATACAATCGTGTATACCCGTTTGCCACATTCAGATTCGCTCTTTATAATATTCGTTTATTTTTTTCCCCCTCGTTTTTCGCTTTATGTGAGCCCCAACGTCTGTCAGTGACAAATGCTGCCACTTCAATTTGGTCTCCTTTAATGTTGTTCCGTTGCCACGCCCCCCACGCAGTCGTGTCAACCCACTCGTCGGCTTTCACTCTTTTTGGCTTTGTAGTGCTTTTTGAGCCTTTATTTAATTGCTGGCCACAGCAACGCCCCGTTAACACGCCCCGCACCCACACACACACACACATACACAAACACACACTGTTGGCAAACAAAAACTCTGTCAAATTTATAGCACTCATACCCTGTAATATCAGAAAAGGGAAAACTCAACAACGAAAAAAAAAAGACAATGCTTTGAGCGTGGACTGCGGGGAGGGGCAGAGATTCGAGTGCTCGAGTGTTTCGTGTTCATCCATATGCTGACAAGAACTCTTTGCGCCTTTTGTCAGCCACTTGTTGTCCTCTAATTCGTTCTTTGATTGCCCACATTCAGTCTGCTGGACTCTCCCCCCTCTCCCTCTCTCCCTCGCTCTCTCTATCTCTCTTTCACTCTTGGTGCTAGCAGCGCGTGGCAGGTGCAAAAGTTTTCTCAAAGAATCTCTGACGCAATCCGCAAAAGTTTTCATTGCACACTTTAGTTTTGATACACTCGGCAACATCTCTGATAGCAGCGCATTGCCGGGAAAGGGAATGGAGCTGGAATACAGCCGGAATATACTATATGTATATAGACACCTGGGTCATTTGTGTTTTTTAAATTCAAATATATTTCATTCAATTTTTATTTTTTACAAATATATGTAATATATTCACTCAGGTCTCAAGTCTCTAGGGCAGACATTTATTATATGATTTTGTTATCTTGTTTTTGATTTGGTTATTCTTTCGACCGAGCTTGGACACTCTTTTTCAGAGACTGTGAAAATATTTCAATATAAATAGCACTTGATTGCACTTGAAAGTGCTGCAAAAATTGCTAAGAGCTTTGTAAGGAATCTAGCAAATGTTGAAAGGAATTTCATTTACTTGTGTCTCAAGCGTCAATTTGTATTTTTCATGAGCTTTGCAGTCCTTTGTGAGGACTAAGTAGTCCTTAGCTAATTCATTTCACAGTTCAAAGGAACTTTCTCTTCAGTGCTTCACTTCGTGTTGTCAGTTTTTCCACATATGTAAATAGTGCGAAGATATAGAATGGAGGGTGGATAAATTAGTTATGCGTGCTACACACTGAGTGTCATCAGTATAACGTTCCCCTCACATTCTCTGCTAATATTGAATAGTATCTATATTTAGGAAATTCGAAAAGGCATTTTTCTTTTTCTTCATAAAATAAAACCTAATTCAGATTTGTATCATTTAAATATTTAAATGAACGTTTTTTTTAATAGGTGGACAGGAATTTTCCCATTAGAGAGACATTTTTGCAATATTTTGTAATTTTTTGTTGGAATGCTTATATATTAAACATCTTTAATCTAATTTAGCAATGTGTATATCAGGATGTATTTGGAAGGCTATAAACATATATGAAGCAAATATAAATATAATTAAATAAAATAAAATCATTGAACATTTGCTTTCGCTTTGAATTGTGAAAAGTCAGAGAGGGTTTCAGCTTACTCCATACTCAACTTTCAGGCCCCGCTCGATGCGTGATTGTGATTTGTGAGCCGTACAATAGATCTCTGTAGATTTATATTTATTATTTCTGTCAGCATAATTGTACTCGATCTCTTTTAACCACTTTTATCCTAGAGTATTTCGTATTCGTCTATAATAATATCTATCTATGTACCTATGTATGAATTTTTATATCCATCTGTCTATCTACCTATCTATCTATCTATCTATCTATCTATCTATCTATCTATCTATCTATCTATCTATCTATCTATCTATCTATCTATCTATCTATCTATCTATCTATCTATCTATCCATCTATCTAACTATCTATCTATCTTTTTATCTATCTGTCTATCTATCCATCGATCTATTGGCCTATCGATCTATCGACATATCGATATATCAATATATCTATCCATCTAATTATTTATCTAGTTATCCATCGGTTATCCATCTATCCATCATTCCATCTATCTATCTATCTATCGATATTTCAATATATCGGTCTATCGATATACCGACCTATCGATATATCAATATCAAACTATCAATCTATCCATCTATCTATCTATTTATCTATATATGGAATGATAATTTAGATAATTTAGCTAGAAAATTCAGTTGAAATCTCAATTGATGCTGAAAATATGTAATATTTTTGTAAGCCTTTAGAAATTCATAAATGAATGTGAAATTATTTTCACAATTTCAACAGCTGGAAATTATTGATAATTTAAAAAGATGTTTTACAAACAATATTAAANTATCTATCTACCTATCTATCTATCTATCTATCTATCTATCTATCTGTCTATCTATCTATCTATCTATCTATCTATCTATCTATCTATCTATCTATCTATCTATCTATCTATCTATCTATCTATCTATCTATCTACCTATCTATCTATCTATCTATCTAGCTATCATGACATATAAATAGAGATATTATATTCATTATAAAAAGCAGCACTTTTATCACTTTTATCATCTGATCTTATATCAACTATAGCAACTAGAGCTCTTCAATCAACATCTGCAATAGGGTTCTCTTTATCTATCTCTTAATAAACTAATTCAACCAGCTACAATTAGCATCCTTCAGCACATATGTAGTATTCTATAACTATAGCAATCACAGCTGTTTCAGCAATAGCAGCTCTACTCTTAGGGTATTTCAACACCCTCAACAGACATAATCTTATCTTGGCATTCTTTTACCTAACTGTTTTTCTATATACCTATATCTCACACCTAGCATTCCATATCATATAGCCTTGCTAGAACTCTAGCAACTGGATCTTTTCTACCATCAATTCCTCACACTATCCTAGCGTGTTTCATCGTCAACCTTAGCAACCAGAATTTCCATTGGCAATTCTTTCAAATTGTGTGTCAAGCGAAACAGCTTTAAGAGTTTAGAGTCCGCTTTGTGGCAGTCGGAGTCATCCGGACTTTTAAATGCCTTTTGAGTGGGTGGAGAAAAAGTTTTAATACACCGACTGGTCGGTCGGCTGGATGTTCTAACACCTTAAGCACTGTGCAGAGGGTTCGTTCACATTAGGCAACCACGTTGCGTTCAACTTGGTTTTGTACTGCCATAAATAATTCATGCATAGAAATAAATACGAAACTTTGACAGAAGTTTTGAGATGTGAATGTCGCCGTTGTTGTTGCTGCTCCCCGTCTGGGCTGTGGCTGAGAGGACGCATCCCCCAAGAACAGACGCCAATTTGCTGGTAATCCTATGGGGGTCAACAAGCTGCGCATTAAGCACTTCACACATGTGCGTGCCGATGTGTGAGTGTGCGTGTGCCTGTGTGAGTGTGTGTCTGTGTGTGTGTGTGTGTGTATGGATGTATCTCAAAATCCCATAAATAGTAATTTTATTAATTGAGTGTGTTACTCGGCTCTGCTCTGCTCTGCTCTGCTCACAGTCCCCGTAGTCATTCATTATTTACGATACGTTTGACATTTGTTTAAAAAATCAT